TGACCAACATTGAATATTTTTCTCAGTATTTTCTTATCATGAAAATTTTTAATTCTTGCTTTATGAATTCTTGAATTTTCATATGCATCATTTCTTATTTCCTCAAGCTCATTTATTTGTAGTTTTCACAGTTGACTAGCATCATCCAGATTTGAATTGAAAGCTTAATAGCCCAATAAGCTTTATGTTCAAGTTCCACATGCAAGTGACAAGATTTTCTATAAACTAGTCTATAAGGTGACATACCTAATGATGCTTTATAAGCAGTTTGATAAGCCCAAAGTGCATCATTAAGTCTTAAAGACCAATCTTTCCTATTAGGGTTCACTGTTTTCTCTAAAATGTATTTGATCTCCCTATTAACAAGTTTTACTTGTGCACTTATTTGAGGGTAATAAGGGGTGATAACTTTGTGTGTGATTTTGTATTTCTTCATTAAAGACTTAAATGGCTTTGTTGTAGAAATGTGTTCCATCATCATTTATCATGGCTCGAGGGATTCCAAATCGACTCAAAATATTTTCTTTCAAAAACTTTATCACTGTTTTGTGATCATTGTTTCAACTTAGAATTGGATCTATTCATTTTGAAACATAATCTATTGCGACTAATATATACAAGAAACCAATTGATGGAGGAAATGGACCCATAAAATCTATACCCCAACAGTCAAAGATATCAATGACAAGAATAGGATTTAAAGGCATCATATGACGTTTTGAAATAAATCCCAACTTTTGATAATTTTCATGAGTCTTGCAGAATGTATGTGAGTGCTTGAACATGGTGGGCTAGTAAAATTCACTTTGTAAGATTTTTACAGTTGTCCTTCTTGATGTGAAATGGCCCCCACATGCCTCAGAATGACAAAATTTAATGACACTACTTACCTCATTGTTGGGAATGCATCTTCGAAATATTTGATCAGGATAATATTTGAATAAATATGGGTCATCCCAATAAAAGTTCTTCATTTCGTTCAAGAACTTTCTTTTATCTTGGGTACTCCAAT